ACGTGAAGGGTGAGCCGGTTGACCCCGTGCTTTTCGGCTGGCCAACGTGCTTGAAGCTAGCCAAAGCACTTCACGAGTTCGCGGCCATGGAGGAGAAGCCCGACTGGTCTCACGACCAGGAGGGCGACGAAATCGACGTCGACGTCGCGGCATGGATGAAGGTGGCGGAGGACGAATCCTATAACGCCATCACCATCGACATGCAGGGAGCCAAAGTCGACGAGTCCGAGATCGTCCTCGAAGCCGTTGACAAAGGAGAGGAAAACTCCGATGATGAACTCGACCGGGTGGAGATTGCGATGTCCCAGTACATCGACATCACGGCGGAGAAGCACGGACTGTCCAAGGTTCCCGACGACGAGGACAAGGACAAATGGCTCTTGCTGGGGGATGACACCCATGACTTCGGATGGGATGCGGAGAATTTGCCCCCGGGAGTTCACCGTGCTGCGCCGGAAGGCCAGTCGATAATCATAGCGGAAGGAGACCTTTTCGATCAAGAAACTGTGGCGTCTGTGGAGCTGGTGTCGGAGGCTGATGAGTCCGAGGCGGCAGGGATGAGTTCCATGATCACCGCGGAGTCGGTCGCTTTCGAATCCGTGACGGAGGGCACCAGCACATCCAAGCAACCACCAACCCCGCCGCCGTCAAGGCGCGGAACTGCTAGCAAGCACGCTGTGGGGGAACCCCAGTCGACTGGTTTCATTGAGATTGGAGACGAGTCGGACCCCACGGCTGCAGGCTCGACCGACAAGCCCCAGGTGAAGGCGATGCCGAGGGTTGCGAAGGCCAAGGTGCCGCCGGGCAACGCCGAGGGGGAACCCCGGTCGAAAAAGCAGAAAGACCCTAAGCAAGAGAAGATCTTCTGGGAAGACTGGGCGAGGACCCGGAAGATCAATACCAAGGTCCCGGCCGAGGAGCAGAGCGAATGGCTCGAGGTCGAGGACATGGGGCACGTCCCGAAGGTCAACATGGACCGAGACTACCGACTGGTAGCAATTTCGAAGAAAATGTCCTATTTCCTCCGGGGAGGGGCATTCAAGGACGGCAAGCCCCACCCGCCGTTTCGCGGCATTGACCTGTCGGTGGAATTCGATGCGCTGGTCAGGCATCTGAATGACCGGATCGCCAACGTCATGCCCTGGGAGGTGATGATCTGCATCCGGAACAATAACACCCGCAGATTCCGCGTGATGGTTGGGCCCCCTCCATTGGGGGAAGCATCCTGGAAAGGATTGCCGTATCAGGCTTTGCGGGTGAGGGCCGTGCAAGGACACCACAACGAGCTCACAAGGAAATACACCGAGCAGGCGATCCTGACAAATTTGTATTCCTTTGACGAGGAGTTCACCGCGGCCAAGTACCTCGCCGGCCAGTACCCGAGGGCTGTGCGGCACCCGGAACTTACTGACCAATGGCGCCGAGGCTTTCCGGCTGTCCTTTATCACACCTGCGACCTCAGATCGGCCGAGAGTATCCTCAAGTTCGGCCTGGTTCCGGGGGGCTATCCGAAGTCGACAGGCAGGGCCCACGTCTACTTCAACCCAACGCCACCCTGGGAGGCGCAGATGAGGAAGCTGGCAGGCACGCGAGCCGGAAGGCCCGTCACAATCGCATTTGACACTGAGCTCATGATGCAGGACGGGATCAGGCTATTCACAAGTGATGAGGCCTTCATGTCCGCGGACTGGGTTGGAAACGCCTATGTCATATACGCCTTCCATACCCGCAAAAATGAATTCCTTTACTTCAACCGGGCATACCCAGAGCTTCGCAAGCGGTATCGCGAGGCACTGACGACCGAGCTCGCGCCTGGGCCTCACGACGTCAACCCAAACTTTTTCCGAAGTGAGAACACCCTCACCGCAGAGAAGGCCTGGAGGCATTGGCGGACCGTCGTTGAGGGGACGAAGAACGGCAAGCTGCTTCCGGGTTCCGTCACCGAAATTGAGACGATCGATGAGCTCGCTCCCCGGAAGGGGAAGTCGAATGAAAGACCTGCAGGCCCGACCTATCAGGTTGCGCCTGCGACTCTTCGGAGGGTGCCCGAGCTCTCCAGGGGGGAGAAAGGGCATGGTCGCGGCTGGAACAACCTCCGGAACCGCTACCAGAGCGAGCCACGTTGGGAGGACCTCCTGTTCACGACCATGATGAAGATTCCGGTCGTAAAATGTTGGAACCGGAGGTGCAACAACCAACAGATCGACGGCTACCTGTTGTGTCAGGAATGCCGGGCGGACATGGTGGCTTGGACGGACGCACGCATTGCCACTGAGGTGGTACGCCTCGAGCACACGGCATCCCTCCAGGGCATGGTTTTCTACCTGGAGGATTTGCAAGGTGGCGGAGGGAAGTGGATCCGTTCCAAGCATCACTTCAAGGAAGGTGAGAAGCGGGGAGGAATCTCCGTCGAAGCGTCACTCAGGAAGACGGCAAAGACGCATCTGACCAAGGCGTTGGCGATGGGGTGCGAGA